ATAAAAAATTAAGGAAATAAAGGTAGTTATTTTGTTTTTTTTCAAATTTTTGCTTTTAAATAAAAAAAATTTTATCTTCTGCACATTTCGTAACAATTAAAAGAAATCTTAATATAGGCAAATGTACACATTAGAGCGGGTCGATTTTTTTATRAAAACTCATATGCGGGAAATGTTCTASGGACAATTCTGAACAWCTTTGCYTACGATACTATGGTTCTGGAACTGGCTTTCAGCTATTTTTGAGGCGAAGTTTGAAARATATGAAGAGTAGGTTTTATAGGAGATATATGATATAGTTTTCCGATCTGATCGATTCCGATAACGGATTAATAGAGTATCAAAAGTAACCTACATATTAAATTACGTGCGCATATCTCAAACATTGCGAAGAAAATTTTATAATTCCTAAACAAACTTCGCCTTAAAAATGGTTTGAAACCAATTTTAGCCCCATAGTCTCTTAGGCAAAGTTGTTCAGAACGATCCATAGATCATGTCTCGCATACGCGATTTTTCCGTTTTTTTCCTTCCTCTAAAGCGACCCCTTCTAATTAACATGTACTATAAATATAATTCTTTGCCAACGACATATGTATAACAAAAACAATAACAACAAAAACAGAAGAATCAAAATTAACTATAATTCTTTGCCAGCTACATATAACAATAATATTAAAAAAAAATAACAAAAACAGTTCAAATAAAATTTTGTGCAAAATCAATGACCGAGCGCCTTTAAATAAGACACTAATTTTAGCACTCAGTATCGATGCCAAATTATTGCATTGTTGGCAGCCAGCTGAATTGCAATAATATTATGTGGCTGCAAGRAAAARTAAATAATAAKTCACACAYACACACATGCACACGTTGTTGTTGTAGCTGGCCGACACGCAAACGCAATCGAATTGAGCCGTGGAACCGCGATGCCAATCAGTGAATGTTGTGGCGCCGTTTTTGTGGCCGCTGTGTGCTGTTGTTGCAGCTGGCCTTGTTGACACCACTGTTTTTGTCAGCGCTGCAACCAAATTTTGATTTTTTGTTATTGGAAAATCACTGCTTTTTTGTTTGCCAGCTTTTATCCCGATTGCKCGACACCGCATCGCCGCGCTCTAACTTCACACCCTATATTTTTGGCTTTCATGGTGCTRAAATTGGCTTAAATTGACTGAGTTGCTTGCTTGTTTCTTTGTATGTGTRTAGGTGTCTGTTGAGCGTTTGGGGCGCAGTCGACTCAGTGTCCCGTCTCGAAGCTGACATCCGCATGGAAACCCGTATCGTCTGCATGATAAATGACATTCTGTATGCGTCCGTCCGGCAATAAAATGTGATATTGACCGCGCGTCACACCATCCAAATCACGATTCTGTTTGTGGCCAAAATCATTGCCGGTATTAAAATCACGTATGCGATAGCCGAAYGCATACTTTGCGGCGTATTGCAGCTGCAATGAGACAAGCAGAGAGTGCGTGTGAGAGAGAGTGGCAGAGATACAGATATTAAAACTATGGAATGGAAGAGYGAGTGGGTGCGTTGACTCCACTTAGTGAGCGCACACCAGAGAATAAATAAAAATTATTTTTTAACGAATAAAACTGAAAGCATTAAAAATATATATGAATGTATTTATGTATGTACATATGTGTTTGTTTGTATGTGCGTGTGAGCTGAAAAGTCWGTGAATGAAAAAATATGCGCCAAAAATCAAATTGAGATAGGAGTATTCATTGGTTATGATTTATAGACATGTGTACATAAGTGTGAAAAGTTCCGYTTGTGACAAATTGAAAAATGAAAAATGATTTTTTGAAAATTCTTTGTTTGTAAATTTTAGCAGCATTATTTATATATACATATGCTCATATACATATATGTATGTACAGAGTATCTGGGTGTGTAATATACAAGAAAGAAGGATCATTTTGGTTTCATGGTATCTGGCGGTGGTGTATTGGTCACCACGGACACGGTAGACGAGTGAGCCGAAGTCTTCAGCTGCTCAGAGAGAATCCTCTCTGGTAGACTATAGAACTCTCAGAAGTCAGAGACAGAGTTCTTTGCAAGCTTTTCTATGAAGTTCTCTTTGCCTTWCTTAACTAGAATGTATATTGCAATTTCCGTTTTATACAACGCCTAATCGTCAGCTGACCCACACTGTTGAATAATCGTAACAAATTGGGCAGTCGGAAGAAATCTAGCTAAACTAAAATAAAACCGAGATAGTATTATCTACCAGAAGATATAWGATACCGGTGGCACTAGACATCCGCCTACCAGCCTCTCCCTAGTTGTAGGTCTTTAACAGGCCATAGCTTTATTGGCGTTCATGCAATAAAGCTGGGAATCTTATCAGACGTCATAAGCAGAACATTTATGGAAGAAGACCAGACGAAAACAACTCAACACTTCCTTTTTGACCCAAAAGACTGGATATAGTAGTAAAAATGCGATCTCTGGATCAGCAATAGAATTGAACCTAACCTAACAAACGCTTGGATATTGGATAGAAAGACTGAAGGTAAAAATCTCTGAGCCGTTTGCCGAGGCTAATACTCCAAAATGGAAGTTAATCGTGAACAATATTGATTACACGCAGTGGCCTATTAGAACTCCCACAATCAAGGAGAGGTTCACCTCTTCGCCTCCAGAAAGCTTAGCTATCTTTATTGGAATTTCCTGCGAAAGAAAAGAAATTGCAAGCAAAGCTGTCCGCCTTTAGCTAACAACTAGATCCAACTAGGGCATACTGAACTTGAATTGGAATTTTGCAGCATCGCATCAAATGATATCGAAGACGATGTAGCAAGAATCTTCTCCATTTGCGAGGATGTGTTGACTAAAAGTCGATATATTAAAACAAAGTTGAAAATCTTCAATGGAGGATTTTAAAAAAATAGAAGTTATGTAAGAACCAATATCACGAAAATTTGTCCAATCAATTCCCACTGTAAATAATTTCTAGAGCGTGGAAATTGACTAGTCTATGAGAAAAACTTTATTAGCTTAGTGGGTTTTCAGTAATTTTCAAAGTAAATTTTCAAGAACCTCATCATATGTACACAGTCGCACAGTTAGAAACGATTGGTGAAAGAATGGGTTGAAAAATGTCTAAGTCTTTAGAAAAAGAGAGGATTACTAAGAATTTTTGATAATATATTTATCATAGCCACTGGTTGGAAACTTAATATTCATCATCAATTGGGTTTGAACCATTTAAAAAAGTCTAGCTACAAAAAGAAACTTGATGTTTGGGTACCACATGARTTGTCTGTGAAAAATTTAATGAACTGAACTGCGGTTATTGACTGAAATAAAATAAAATGGAACCATTTTTGAAGCAAATGGGAACAGTGGAACAAATACGGCAATAACGTGAGGAAAAGATCATGCTTCAAGCGTGGTGAAGCTCAAACAATGGTCGTAAAGCTAGAATTRACGCCTCGAAAGGTTATCTACTATGAACTWYTCCAGCCYGGTCGAACGATTGATTCCACATTTTGTCGTTAACAACTGATGAGATTGAAGGAAGCAATCGAAAAAAACGGCCAAAACTGATCAACAGAAAGGGCTTCGTCTTCCATCAGGTCAACGCTAGACCACACACATCTTTGATGACTCGGCAAAAGCTGGGAGAGCTTATCTGGGAAGTTTAGATGAATCCAYYATATAGCCTTGAACRACACAATTTRTTTYGGTCAATGCAGAAAGCCCTTAATTGTAATGATAAATATTTGGTTCATTAAAGTTTATTATAAATATAAAAAAAAGTTGATTTGATTTGAAATACGAAAAGACTTTTTCGACTACCATATTTTATAAATAATAATCTTCCATGAAATAATTTTCCAGCAAAACAAAAAGGTTCAGTTTGCGAACCTATGTATATTCGAAATCGCAGTAGGGAAGCCTTTTAATATATAGCATACATATATATAGTATACAGAGGAATATATATTTACTGCTCTTGTATTTACATATACAAGGTGGGTTCTATATTAAAAAGGACTTTTTGAATCTAGCGCCGCCTGGTGGCGCCATATATATATCAACTGCTGCGTCAGAATCCGATATCTCTATCGATTGTCCAGTGAAAGTTTCATGTCATTTCATTGCCGGGAAGTGAAGTTATTGCGTGTCAGTATGCTTGTGTTCTCGGTGCGAAAATGAGCTTCGAGGAAAGAGCCCACATTAAATTTTGTTTTAAAATTAGTAAAAATTTTACCAACACATTTCAATTGATGAAACAAGTTTATGGCGATGATTGCCTATTCCATAGCAGAGTGCACGAGTGGTTTCAACGCTTTCAAAGTGGTCGTGAGGACATAAATGACGATCAATCAAAATCCGTGATCTTCGGAAATTCCATCGAAACTGTATGTGAATTCATCAAACATCAACCGAAATCATAATTGAAATTCATGGAAATGGAATTAAACATCTCCAAGACATCGATTTAACGCATTTTGACCGAACATTTGGGAAAAGCAAGCGTTATGCAGACGTAGAGGTCATGTAAAAGGCTTGCACCGGCATATTGACGGCCATACCGGCCGATGAGCTAAAACACTCGTTCGTTTTTTTTTAATCCTGTATACTTTGGAATGCACCTTGTATATGTAGTTATATAGAGTTGCTATGTTTATATGCAAAGTTTTGAGCAGCTTTGATGTCACTATCTCTCAACTAAATAATTAATGTCCCCACAGATATATCAGAGAGGGTATGTTTGGCTGTACATATATTTCAAATATTTCATTTTGTAATTTCTGCAGGTTTTGACGTGGCATTTGACACTTGCAACTTGATTTGTGTGTTTCGAAAATATTTTTTATGCATAAATTTCTAATGGGTTTCCTCCGTGAGTTTCGAAAGCACGCCTGATTTATTGCATATTTTTGATTGTGACATAAATTGGTTAAGGTTTTTATTAGTTTCTGTTSAAATAATTAAATGCAGATAACGGTATCAAGTTTTTTGATTCAAGTGCATTTTGAAAGTACTACGTAATATATTATAATATGAAACTATTTTATTTCTAATTGCTTCGGCGGCTTTTGAACTGGTGCTAAGACCTATAGACTTCTTCTTTACTGAAAACTTCGCAGCAAAATCAGCGGGAGGACTACGACCTGTAGGAGAACTTACATATAGCACCTTCAGCTCGGTGGGTAAAGGCGGTTTGGCAAACATTGACTACAAGTCCCACTTTTCACCTGGGAAAAAAGGTTCAAAGTAAACAGAGAAAAAGATGGTTGGTGTAAAGGCATGCCACCTATGCGCAACAATCGAAATATTTATACGGCCGGCTCGAAAATGGACAATGGGGTTGGTGTGGTGACAGAATAATGGTAAAGAAAATCAAAACCCGATGGAACGAGCTACCTGGGTGCAAATCTGCAAAAGTCATGTGCAAAACGGTAGATCGGAAGTACACAAAATTCCTACTGGCATTCTATAGAAGAGGCTGTATGAACATGATCGGAATACTGGTCACTGTCTGGTAGTGACACACGCCCGCAAAATATTGCTGAGGGATCCAGAAGACTGCAGAAATGTCTGGAACAAGGCACCAACGAAACAATGGACCATCTCTTGTGCCCTTGGCACGCATTGGCAAGACTACGCTGTAAACATCTGTAATCCTCACGGTATGATACACTAGAATAGGTGTAGATAGTAGGGTCGCTGAGTCTGTTAAAATTCGCGTCAAGCGCAGCCATCCTAATGGATGAGTACTCCTCATAGACCTAGTAACTGAATTCTATCTGGTGCTGCAAAGGACCAAAATTAGTCTATACATGCCTTATGGATTACAGATTAAATCCAACCTAATTGTTTCGGATATAYATAGGTTATCGGTTAGACCTCTTCACCGAGTCTACTACCAGTTCAGCTCCATACTGAGCTCGACTGGCGACCAAACGGACTAAACGGCCCTAACTGTCCGGCATTCCAACTAGTAAAAATTACATCTTACATCTAACAATCTGTCAGTCCATCTACTCCCCATGCATCGTACATTCCACGATAATTTTTCTAAACGTGGCATACACCAATCCCTTGTACTGTAAGCAGAAAAACCAGACACAGGCAGAATYTGAACGATTTTGGAACGATATGTCATCACCTACGCTTGAACCCCATTTATTTCAAATTTYCCAAAGTTATTCTCCCGCTCGCTCTGAATCTGAGCCCTATAGACCAGAAAAATAAGGTCGTCCGCTTACTCGTATATGGACCGTAGATGGACCACGAACTACCCCGATACCCATACTTCCATTAATGCTAATTGAAAAAGTAACTCCGCTCAAGAGTACTTTCCTCAATCGATACTGCGTATACGAACACATACCTCACGTTAGCTACTGAAGCCGACCGATGACCCCATAATAACGAGGATCTCTTCTGATTTTATTAGGGAAATTTRGGAGAGGAGCACTTTTC